GTGAATATATTTCTGATAGAGTCAAATCATACACACACTAAAAAGTGAGAAACTTTCTCAGTAAGCATCATTACCAATTTAAAAAATTTTTAAAGCAGAAATTCTGTTCAGTAGATTTGTTAGCTCAGAAAAAATCAATTTGAATTCATCTTCAAAAATTTTAGCAAGAATAATATTTCGCATTTATTTTAAATATTATCATTACTGTTCTAATAATTCTGAATAATTTAAAACAAAATGAGCAATTATTGAGTAAAAATTCTAAGATGAACGAACGTCATGGCAATATTAGAACCATCGATGACAATACTACGAAACTGTACAGGCAATATTACATTAGTTTGATTGCTTGCAGTAATTCGTGATCTACTAAATCCTCTTCCAAATTTGATCAACTCAGTGAGAATCTCATCCTGAAATCTTTTTTATTCAATTTCTAAGTGCTATCTATTACTTCAGTCTTATCAGTTTGTGAATATTTAGATTAACTGATGTAAATTTGATATGTTATTTTGATGTATCTGCAAAACCTTTGCAAAAGAGCAAAACTTTAAAGATAATAATTGCTGCTATTCTTAATTGGAAGTAATAATTTTTCATTTAAGATTGTTTTTTCAGATTAAAACCTGAATCTGTTGGAATCTGATCATTCATAAAAATGAAGGAAAAAAAAATCAAGACAAGAATGATAGATGTAATAACTTTACAGTGTATGAAACCAGATTCATTATTTTTGCTACAATGAAAGAGTAAAGTATCACAATCGAAATTGCTTAGGAAAAGCTAACTTTCAACCAACGAAAAAATTCTGTAAATATTTTACCTTTTGCAAAATTTAGATAACAATTAAAATCATTAAATTTTTGTATTTTTGCTGAAAAATATTCCATAAAAACAACGGAAAACAATGCTGACACTCAAGTAGTACTACAAATAGTTAAAGTCAAAAGTAAATTGCGATTCAGATATTTAAATTTCAAAAATTGAGTAAATTAGTCTTTTGCATTAGCCATTTTTGTCAAAAAAAGAAAATCCTAAAGACTAGATATTTTTCCGAACCAAAAATTGTTTTTTATCATTGTACTTTTTTCTTAACTTTTTCTTATTAAAATTAATCGAAATTTTAAATGAATGTTACTGAGACTAAATTCTGAAGTTTAGTTTCATTAAAATTTGATAACATTTTTTAAAATGCTTTCATGCACAATTAATTTTAATTTTTTGTAAACAAAAAGATAAATTTCAAATGATTTCAAAAAATGATTAGATCAAATCATCAAAACTTTAATTAGCTTTTTTATATTAAAACTACGATATTTTCCATAAATTTTCGTGCTCATTAACAAAAACTAATAAATATATTTTGTCTTCCGAAACATTTTTACATTTCACAAAATTTAATGCGAAAAAATTCAAAAATATCAATCACAGAATAAGTTTGAAATTTGCAGTAATTTGCTCACCTGTCCAGCATTTGTTCCTAGCTTTTCCAACACAATTTTTAACTGCTCTACAGAAAACCCCAATCTTGTAGCAAAATCAGTATTTCGGCGAAGAAATTCATCCATTTCACTTTGGTTTTTATGAGTCGATTCTGAATCTATTGTGCTTGATTGTATCACTGACTTTGTGGTAGAGCATGAGGATTCTCTTGACATCGAGCTGTGTGAGGATTCTTCAGAACAACTTGAATAGCTCGAATCATGCCTTTCCATTAATTTATCTGATAATCTTTCTTTACTATTGCTGAAATTTTCATATTTAAAAATGTGTTTATATTATCAAATTGTATATCAGTTCATAATATAATTTACTGTAGAATATACGGTACTTAATTAACTAACAATGTCAAAAAAATGAATCCAAAAATTTACGCTACAATAATTTTAATAATAATGGGCTGAGTTTGAATTAGACTATTGTGAATAATTGTTTAATTAAGAACAATACTTGAAAATTACAGTATTATTACTGAAACTCATAACAGCACTAAATTAGTGATTTTTAATATTTTTGACAGTTAAAATGTGAAATTTTTTGAAGCATAAAGCTGAAATAGCTTAGTAAATATATTTATATTCACAATAGTCTAATTCAAACTCAGCTTATTATTATCTACGGCTTGCCTTTCTTTAGAAGTATTATCTAGTGCCATTTTCATTGCAAGCTTGTTGTAACTATAAATATTTGATATTTTCTGCAAAAATCGTTGAATTCACACGCACTTCAAATTGCATTGCATATCAAACAGCAAGTTCAAGAAGATTTTCAGGTAAACTTTCAATCGAGTAGTAACCTGAAGTCATCACTTCTTAGTAAATATTTTTTGCAAAAAAAGTCCAACACTAAGATTTAAAAAAATTAATAGTTAGTAATATCCATGATAGTTTTAGGTGCTTTTTAAGTATTATTAGAAGCAACAAAAAAAACCAAGCAAAAAATAATGCAAATACCGATAATAATATTATTATTAAACCTTTTTATTAATTTTAAACTTATGTAATACTTTCCTGCAACAAAATACTGTAATAGTAGAGAATGCTAACAGAAAATCTGACGATTTCTTTTGTATGCTTTTGTATTTGTCACATATTTTATTACTTTTCAAACTGTGTAACCATATACAAAATCATTTCAGATCTGTAGAATAAATACAAGAAATACTTGAAAATGCAGATATGTCATCAAGTAAGTGCAATGAGATATACTGTTGAGTGCCACAGTAAGCAGAGAAAGTAATGAATAATTATATGCAAAAAGAAAATTAGTCTCAAATACTTTTAAGATGGTTTTTTAATCTGAGTATTATCGATTGATAAGATTATGAGAGATAAATTACTTATTAAGTATATACAAAGCAATTCTTTTTAATCATTTTTTTTGAACTTTTTCAAATATATATATAAATGTATAATTAGTTTTATGTATGACTTTGAAGAAAAAAGTAGATCAATAAAAAAAATGAGTAAATAAAAAGTGTTTTCATACATTTTAAAGAACAGAAGAACTTAAATATTACATTTAACTTCAAGTTGGAGTATTTGTCAGACATTCACTGCAAAGCTATTATTCATTTTTAAGGATAAAAATGTGAGTGGAAAAGCGTCTTAACTGACACCAATTGTTTACTTCACTATTTGATAAAATGTAAATTAGTTTCTGTAGAAATTACTGTCTACTTTCTATTTTTCCATTATTCGTCCATTATTCGAATAATGAAAAATGAGTGTTATAGAAGAGAAATTATAAAGCAGCCAAATCAGAAGTTGTTATTTATGAATATGAAAACTTTGAAGTTAAGTTATTCTCGAACAAAGTAACTTACAACTTTCAAAATCCTCTTCAATATTAGCAACTTAAAACTGCTTCTACATTTTGTTTTGTTTTGGTAAGAAGTAAATTATGGAAGTAGCTTTTTAGGATACAAGATCAAATTCGATCGTACAAAAGCTCTGAAAATTTATTCCTTGAAAAATATGACATAACAATCACAGCTTTTTCTTCTCGATTGCAGTGCTTTCAGTAATTCAAATATATTGTTACTGATGAAAGTAATGAAATAGCTAACATTCTGGAACGAAAATAAAAATAGAATACTGCAGCGAGATTACTTCAAGTTACTTCAGTGATATTCATAGCTCAAAAAAATTTTCTCACTTCATATTCATGGGCAGATAAATTAGCAACTTTTCGCTAGAATACAAATTAACTGAAGCTTCTCAAATGAAAGAGAAGTTGAAGCTCATACTTATCCACCATTTAAACTAAGCTAGTGATAAAGATTGTACAACTTCAACAACTAGCAGAGCTAACATCAAAATACAAGAAAAAGTGATAATTTCACCAAAAAAAGACAAAATTTAAGATGCCAAGCAGAATGCAATGGATTTGGTTTTGAAAGTAAAAATCTCAAGATAAAATACATCTAACAAAAGGAACTAACCAGGCAAAGACAGGTTTCTACGATATGCTATTGTTTTATTATTTTTTTAAAGCAATTACTGAGCAAATCTGTAATTTTCATTCAAGATTGAATGACTTCTACCTAAAGTGAAATATTTTCTAATTTGCATAGCAACTCTACGATGCATAAACACCTTTATATCTTCTATTTAAAAAAACATAAAAAATTTTCTAACTCTATCATGTTTACGTGAGCGTAATTCTCGTAAAGCTTTCGTGTTATTGCGCTGCCATTCTTGTATCTGTATGTTTCTTGATAATTTTTCAGTGAAAAGTGAATATGTCGTGAAGGTGTGAGTTATACCGATAACTGCTTGCCTAACAGACTGGTTTTATAAGCGATGCTTTATGTTTCGCGTCGTTATTCATCAAACAAGCAGGTTTTCGCGAATGGAAAGAAGAACCAGCAAGCTGACAGTAAATCTACCGATGAAACAACAAATACCCGGGAGTAGCTGATTAAAACTTGTGCTACAATTTTTGCTTCAGGAAGTTTCTTCACTTCACTTAATACTTACTTTTATTGCAGCTAAAAAAAAAATTCTTAAATTTCTTAAATCATTACCAGCCAATTTTTCATTTTGTTTTCAACATGATTGAATTCCCTTCCTTGAATAATTTTTAAAGCGAAAAAAGACAGGTTTGGATGAAGATACAACACATTTTTCATACAGCCCCTTGTCATTCTGCCCTCAGGTATAATTACTATGAAACATTGATAAAAAGCTTGAAATAAAAGCACAATATCCATTAATTAACGAGCAATTATTCAAATTGATTGCATAAGAGATGCAATTTTTCAATTTTTTCATTTATATTGTTTGTTCTTAAAGGTGAATAAATGGAGAAAAGTATAAAAAACTGTATTCTGCAGACCATATTCTTTGCTCATTGATTACGCAAAATGAGCTTCGTTTTTTGGTTTGCAAAAACAAATTCAAAGCAATAAAAATATGCAACAAAGTAAACAAAACTTTCATTTCTAAAAATAATTTCTTTGCGACACTCAATAGTTAGTACTCAATAAGACTGTTATTACTTTCAAACTGCTCTAAACATGAAGTAACAGTAACCTTCGAGAAATTTGATATGAACTAACTTGTAACACTTAGTGGCTATAACTTGTAAGATTTTGCGTTATCCTGATATAGTTTTCATACTGTTCAAAGTAAGGCAAAAATAACTATTTTTGAATTATGTCATGACCGTGAAAACAAATTAAGAAATATTGGTTGTAAGGAAATTGTGAGGAAGAGTGCTGAACGTACTATTGATATTCTAATAGTGTTCATTATATTAGGAAGGCAAAAGTTATTATTGTAGAAAAATCGAAAAGTTAATATGTTTATCTGATGCGCTTTTTTAACAAGTGGATAAACAACAATAAATAAATGATTAATGAAAACAAAATATTTGCAAGTTTTACATTAATTTTTTCATTTGATAAGGACTTTAGCTTCTATAATTTATAAAGAGAAGGTGAGAATGATAATTATTAATAATGAAAAATAATTAACAAAGGTTATGCAACTTTTGCTTTTTAAAAATAATTAAATTATGAAGCCATTAAAATTCGTTGTTATCTTTGTTCAGTCAACTAAATCATTATTCTTTGGCACAAGCTTTTCTTTTTATTTGCCTGTACTATTTTTTGCAGTGACTACTAATGACTTATTTTATGGATTTGCATAGTCTTTAGGACAGTAAACACAGTGTGAGAAAATCAAACGAAACAAACAAATAATAATTATTATTATAACCAATCACAAATTTGAACTTGAATTGCATAAAAGATGGATTACAGAAGAGAGCAAAAAATGTGGGATGCAAGAAGCGCGTTTGAACAAACGGCTGAATGGATGTCCAGTTATAAAAGTGCTGCATTTAACAGATTTTAGTCATAGCTGACAATATGAAATTATCAAGTATGATACAATGTTTGTAAGAAATAAGCAATGAAAAAAGTGAATAGAATAGAATAGAACAGAATAGAACAGAGTAGAGAAGACTAGATTTGGGTATGATCTGAAGGAGAAGTGCCAAGAAGTAAGCAACAGAATAAGAATTGAGTGCTGAGAAAATGAAAGTGGAACCTGTTCTTACACAAATTCTTTTTTGAACATTTCATGTTATATGTCATTCTCTGTGCAATGAAAAATACTTATGATTTTATGCATTTTACGTAACACTGGTGATTCGTTACTGATAAGCATGAACACGTTAAAGAGAGTACTTGAATATATTCTTTCTTGTTTTTTTCTATTTATATATAGTAATGACAGAAAAACTAAAACTAGAAGACGTTCAAAGTTTGTTCAGAAAAGTTAATGATATATACATACATCTATCATTTCTAACAGTATGCCGAACCATTTTTTCGCATTATTTTTCCATTTATGATCTTTTTTTACGCTAATTTCACTTCAGCTTAATGTCAAACCTAACGACATTAAGCTAACATAAATTATATTAGTCCCATAAAATTATCTGCAAACGCAATAATTATTGATAGCAACTATTTTTTTCCATTGTTTGCGCATACTGAATAAAATTTGTGCTTGTAAATCAATTAATTTAGCATTATTTTATAATAATGAAAAGTATAATAAATCATATGCTGAAGCAGATGACATTTTAAAATGATTGCTAACTCTCAAAAATGGAAGTAAAAATGTCTCTATGAAATTTGTATAACGTAGTGAGATTTTTTAGAATTACTTTTCAATGTTACCAAAGTAATCTAGATATCTCC